CACACACACACACACACACACACTCACTCTTTCTCTTTCTCTCCGTCTGACCCCAACCTTGCTGTGGCCGCTCTTGGTGTACGGAATTGCCACAAGCACGGTGGAAGAAATGGAGGCATAGATAAACAAATTCACCAGGAAGTGGCTTGGTGTTCCTCCTAGGCTTTCAGACGTTACCCTGTACTGCCGACAGGCAAACCTGAGACTGCCACTAAAGTCAATAGTGGAGGAATGCAAAGCTGGCAAGACAAGGCTGCAGATGATGCTTGAGAATTCCCAGGACGAGGTGGTCAGGTCAATTCAATCAACACTGAGAACTAGCAGAAAGTGGAAAGTCTTGGATGCCGTGATGGATGCCAAAGATAACGTCAGGCTCGAAGAAGTCATTGGCCATACTCAAGTTGGAAGACAATGACTTGAAAGCGAGAAGAGGATGTGGTGGTCTAGGGCACACGGTACAGAACACAGAGACATGGTGATCCAAGAAGTAACGGACACAGAGGTCAAGAAGAAATACCATTAAGCGGTCCAACAGACAAAGTAGGGCCAATGGACAAACTGGAACGATGCCCTGCAAAGATCCCTTATTTGGAAAGACGTGTGGCACATGACTCCTCTGAGACTTAGCTTCACCATCAGAGCAACATTTGACTTGCTGCCATCAAAAGATGGCAGATACAAGTGGCGGCACAACAGAGTGTTGAAGGAGCTTGTCCTTGCAATCTCCAGAAGCCTGGACACCGACACCGATAACACTGTAGGTCCAGCCCAGACATTTTTCACAGCAGTGAAAAAAAGAAAAGGGTTGGAAAAAAAAGCAAGTGTCTTGTCTCTCAATGAGTGGAAACCTTCTGGGATCGGCAAAGGATCGGAAACTAGCTGCAGTTTTCCAAGAGTGGCGGAACTACCCTTCCATGATCAAGAGAACAGGTCTCAAATCAGATATCGTTCTCTGGTCAGAAACTGATGCTAAGATCTTCTTAATCGAGCTGACTGTTCCATACGAAAGTAGGATACATGCACAGCATCAATTCAAATTGGCAAAATACGAAGATCTCTCGCATCGACTCCAAGGAGAGGACTATAATTCCAAGGTCAACTCAGTAGACGTGGGTGCCCGGGGGTTTGTGGCAGCCTCGACTTTCACACTGCTGGGCAGCTGGGCCTCTAAGGCAGGAAGAGAAAAGCAGCCATCAAGAACATTTCAAAAATGGCCGAAAAGAATTCTAGCTGGCTGGGACGAAACGGAATGAAAGCTGGGCTAAATAGAACAGACAGCAGATGGGAAAGTTAAGTAGATTTTAGTATAGCTTCGCATTTGCTGGAGGCTCCTTGGCATTGCACGCAAACAAACGCACGGACTGAAGACCCGGAAATACCCCCAAAACCTCGAGGGTTCAATCCCCGATCAGCGCCAAGAAAACAGAAAACAAACGGAAGGACTTAATAATAATAATAATAATAATAATAATAATAATAATAATAATAATAATAATAAGCATTTGTACAGCGCATATCCCCGCTCAACAGCAGGCTCTATGCGCTTTACACGATATTTATTACCCCAGCAGATCATAGAACACTCCGAAACATTCTCAGCTTCCCGGGAAGCTTGCAGTGCACGCAGCTGATAAAGCGCTCAAACACTAACAAACCGACAAGATCTTTCGCTGTCTATAGCTGGGTACCCATTCCCACCTGGGTGAAGTGAGGAAAATTCGTGTAAAGTGCCTTTCCCAAGGACACAACGTCGGGCCCCTGACGGGATTCGAACCCACGACCTTACGGTTGCGAGTCCGAGAGTCTAACCACTAGGCCACCGACGCCACAGAAAAACAGCAGGAGAGCACTTACGTGTCAGGAAGTTAGGGCCGAAACACTTGCTTGAGGGGGGTTCTTCCTCTGAAGATATCCGGCTGTCCGCTAGCCCCACGAAATTTCTCCCACACATCGCAACCACTCGGAGAACGCGGTTAAGACGTCCGTAAACGTTAGCGCTTGAAGGTTGACTTATCTATTTAAACGTAGCTGTTTTTCTTTTGATATGGGGGGGTGTCTTTGCTCTTCCTTGAATATTTATTCTTAGTACAGTGTCTTATTGATGGATCACATGGTCTTTCCACGGAGCAACCTTTCTATGTCCAAATGAAAGTAAAACAACGAATTTTCTTTTCGTTTTTTGTTTGTTTTTTGTTTCGTTTTGGATGGGGGTTTTTGTGGGTTTTTTATGGAGGTAGGACTTCTCAGATAAAACGATACTCACTCACCGTAGATTGGTGTCTTATTTCAGAGGGTCTCACAGATGAACCCGGCACGCAATCGAGATCGTCTAAAGTCGGAGGTGGTGGACACCCCAAGGAAACCCGACTGTTCTGTGAGGTTGATGGACCGAATGATATCCTTCCGTTCCCTCCCGTGGACTCTCCCGTATTTGCATTGCTTCGGGAATCGTCTCTTTGGCTCATCGCCAACGATGTCCGGTCTGTGGGTGCCGCTGTTAAAATCGAAACCCTTGAGCCCTCCCTGTCTCTTTGGCTCATTGCCAGCGATGTCCGGTCTGAGGGCGCTGCTGTTAAAATATGCGAAATCCTTGATCCCGCCGAGCTATGTGCCTGTGAGTTGGCATTCGATATCGGCTGGCTGGGTCTCGATTCCGAAGCTCCACCAGAGACAACTGAAGTAGAGGTCAGTGATCGTCGGACACTACCATTTCTGAAGAAGAACGTCCTCTCAGAGCTCTCGTCCTCTGGTGCAGAGCTCTGTTGACTGACCAGATCCTGGTGCCCACTGGTGATGACAGACCTACCAGTCTCGGAGGCTAAAGCTGAAGACCCTCGGGTAATGGGCTGTCGGAAAGAAACAGTACGCTGTGACTGGAAAGATGGTCTCTGAGTCGCAACGGATCCCCATTGATCTGTGTCTGCAGTGAAATACGGAGAGGCGCTTTCCGTGGCAGAAAGGCTGTGAAAGGATGTGGGGGGCGGGTGTGGCCGTGAGGAATGCAGTCCTCCCGCAAACGTGGAGCGCTGCTCTTGCTGAGACTGACTGTCCACCACGCTGTACTTGTCGTGCGACATAGAGCTCCGAGACGCTGCCTGGGGTGCGCTAGACGTGTAGCTGTATCGTGAACTTTGGGCGTCTGGTTGGGCAGCACTAGGTTTGCGACCACTAGAAACGGATTCCTGACCGCCTGTTTGAGCCTGGCTACCAAAGGGGCTTAATCGACTGCTCATCGCATGTGGAGAACTTGAAACACTTTGATTTTGAGACGCCCAAGCGTGGCTTTGATGCCTTGATTCTGCGAAGGAATCTACTCTGTGTGATGTGGCGTGCGATGGGCGGTAATGTGATACTGAATGTGAAGTTGAGGCTGTTCGCCCCGAAGACGAATCTCGTTCTTCCTTCACTTCAGGGGAATGACTCGCGAGGCTTCTGCTCACAGTACCGTAACGGCTGCTGATCATGCTACGTGAAGACTGACGCGATACAGAATCATCCTCGTAGCGTACGCTGGGCCGGATGGAGGATTTCCTGTTCTCTGAAAGTCGTGCAACTGACCTTTGACTATATTCCCCAGTATTCACAGTTGATCGTGGTAAAGATTCTCCACGACTGCTTTTTTTTTCTTGGGGAAAAGTAGATTTGTTGCGCTTTCTGCATGCTGCAATAATAGCATCAGCTGCTATTAAGAGATCTCTGTTACACAGACATGAACATCTGGGCGCTTCGGAATTTTGCTTTGACGATTCGTGGCTGATTCTCATTTGTTCATTGCCGCTTTTATCGTTGTGATATGATTTTCTTTTTGGATGCGTTTCCCCATCGTAGTCTTCACCTGTCTTCCCATGTTTGGGTGCATTGTCCGTGCTTGCCTCATGAGCTCTTGAAAAATTCTCTAAGCTGACACTGCTTGATGCTCGATGTGAAAAACTAGCTTTGGGCCGCTCCTTCGAACTGTGAGAGGCCCTTTGATGATCAGGTATTTGAACCCGAGAGGGTCTATTGCTACCTACCTGAGAAGATTGAGGAGTCTTTTTGGAACGAGATTCCCTGATGTATGTACTTTTACGAGAGCCACTCTCCGCGTTCGATTTTCTGCTGCTTCTAACACTTTGACGGTTGTGTGAAAGGTCGTAATCATTTTCACCATTTTGGAGTTCTTCTTCAACGCTTTGTGATTCCTTGATACCTGTACTTTTACGAGAGGCTCTCTCCGCGTCCGATTTTCTGCTGCTTCTTACACTTTGACGGTTGTGTGATGGGTCGTAATCCTCTTCACCCTGCTGGAACTCTCCATTGTCGTGATGTGATTTCTGGGTACCTGTACTTTTACGAGAGGCTCTCTCCGCGTCCGATTTTCTGCTGCTTCTAACACTTTGACGGTTCTGTGGTGGGTCGTAATCCTCTTCGCTATTTTGGAGTTCTTCTTCAATCTTCATACCTGTACTTTTACGAGAGGCTCTCTCCGCGTCCGATTTTCTGCTGGTTCTAACACTTTGACGGTTGTGTGATGGGTCGTGATCCTCTTCACCCTGCTGGAGCTCTCTGTTGTCGTGATGTGATTTCTGGATACCTGTACTTTTCCGAGAAACACTACTCGAGTTTGATTTTCTGCTACTTCTTACACTTTGACGATTGTGTGATGGGTCGTAATCCTCTTCACCATTTTGGAGTTCTTCTTCACCCTTGATACCTGTACTTTTACGAGAGGCACTCTCCCATTTCGATTGTCTGCTGCTTCTAATACTTTGACGGTTGTGTGATGGATCGTAATCCTCTTCACCATCCTGGAGATCTTCGTTATCGTGATGTGATTCCTTGATACCTGTACTTTTACGAGAAACTCTGGCGTCCGATTTTCTGCTGCTTCTTACACTTTGACGATTGTTTGATGGGTCGTAATCCTCTTCCCCATTTTGGAGTTCTTCTTCACCCTCGATACCTGTACTTTTACGAGAAGCACTCTCCCATTTCGATTGTCTGCTGCTTCTAATACTTTGACGGTTGTGTGATGGATCGTAATCCTCTTCACCATCCTGGAGCTCTTCGTTATCGTGATGTGATTCCTTGATACCTGTACTTTTACGAGAGACTCTCTCCGCGTCCGATTTTCTGCTGCTTCTTACACTTTGACGATTGTTTGATGGGTCGTAATCCTCTTCACCATTTTGGAGTTCTTCTTCACCCTCGATACCTGTACTTTTACGAGAAGCACTCTCCGATTTCGATTGTCTGCTGCTTCTTACACTTTGACGGTTGTATGATGGATCGTAATCCTCTTCTCCATATTGGAATTCTTCGTCATTGTAATTGTTGTCTTCGTAATAGTCATATGCTTCGTCCTGGTCATAGCTGTCTTCAGCATAACCTTGACTTTGTGATCTTGCACTACTCTTGCGATGATCATCTTTCACCGAACGTTGAGAGCTAGGCCTTGCACCACTTCGTCTAGAAGCACGGCTCTCATCATTTTGACTCTTCCCTCGAGATGCGCCACTTGTGCGTGGATATGGCTCTCCGTTCGCATCATAATATTCTTCTTCATCATAATCCCCCCAATCATCTTCTTGATCATTTTCTTCGTAGCTCATGGTTGGCTCTTCGATTTTGCCTTGTTCGGGTTCAGTGTCGCCAGGGTTCTCCGTTTCTGTGCTGGGATCTTTTACGTTTTGAGGCCCGGCCTCGACTTTTTCAGAATCTGGTATTTCTTTGTTTTGGTCCCCGTGTTGTTCGCCTAAAGTCAGTTCGTCATCCTCTGTTATTTCAGCTTCTCCTTTTTGAAGAGAAGTGTCCTGGTTCACCGGCTGGTCATTAACTCCAGGTTCATCCTTCTCGTCTTGGGACCCGCCATTTTCATTTTGCTGGTCGTCATCTTTATTGTGGAGTTCTTCAATTTCATCTGCGTGTACATCTGCTTTATCATGGAGCTCTTCATCCTCGACTCTAGACACCTCGGCTTCGCCGTTCTCATCCACAAGAGTATCAGAAAGAGGTTCATCCTCATGAACTATTTCTTCGAATAACTCATTGTTGTCTGCGTCTTGTTCTTTTCCATCCTCAACTGGTGCATCTAAGGTCTCAGACGTAGTTTCCAGAGTTTCAACAGCAGCTGATGTTTCTTCAACGGTTGCAGGTGATGTTTCTTCAACATTTGAGATTTCAGTGGCATTCTGTAACGTTTCATCAACGTTTGAGGTAACACTTGCTTTTGGTGACGTTTTATCGAAATTCGACGATCCACTAAGTCTCTTAGACATATTGCATGTTGCCCGAAAAAGTATAGGTACCTGATTTTTTTCGGCACTGGTGATAGAGAGCGCTCAGGTAGTGAAGACACCAGGTGGTGTCTATCTTATTTACTTTTAGCTTATACATGTATACCTCCAAACGCATGCAGAGGATTGAAGCATCCACATGTATAGATTCTAGACCCTAAAGTAGGTTCCAAACAGTTTGTTCATGCCAAATACACGATGACTTTTGCTTCCTTTTTATGACAAAAGGCTTGCCACCAAGGTACTTCAAAGACAGGTGTGTGGTGACATGGTCTCTGGTTTCCGGAACGATACTGAAATCGAAAGAAAAATAATATGTTTTGGTGAAATCCACTCTTGTGACAAGCGAGCAATACATCAATTATTTTGAAGTTTGAAGGGAATGTTGCATTTTTTTAGATTGTGTTTTCTAGTTCGTTAAAAACTTGAAAAAACAAGTTCTACAGATTTTCAGTAATATGATTTTCATATACTTTTTCGAGGAAATGGGCTTGCATTTGTGTATGCATTTTGAAATAGCAGATATCCAGACGTGAAGGTCAGTGACCAGGTGGGAGTGGGGGGGGG